CAGCTATGGGAGCCCTATAGCAGCTGCCTTTATTTTCCCAGGGGAGCGGGTCAATGCAGAGTAGCCCCAGGAGTGATCTTCATTTTTTAAAAGTGTTTTTCCTTTAAGAAAAAAAAAGATTATTGCCAGGTGTTGGTGGCGCACGCCTTTAATCCCAGCACTCGGAAGGCAGAGGCAGGTGGATCTCTGTGAGTTCGAGGCCAGGATGGTCTATAGAGTGAGTTCCAGGACAGCCTCCAAAACAATACAGAGAAACCCTGTCTTCAAAAACCAAAAAAAAAAAAATATATTTTTTTTTTAAAGATTTGGTGTGTGTGTGTGTGTGTGTTTGTGTTTGTGTGTGTGTGTGTGTTTGTGTGTGTGTGTGTGTGTGTGTGGATGCAGGTGCCCATGAAAGCCAGAAAAGTGTGTCTGATCCCTGGCAGCTACCTGATGTGGGTGTCCAGAACCGAACTCAACTCAACGCCTTTGGAAGAGCAGCAGCTGCTGAACCGTCTCTCAAGCCTGCGATTTTCCTCATTTGCATCACAAAAACATGCGATTTTAACTCGTCAATGTATTCTTGATAAATCTGGGGAGGGGGGCTTGGGTATTATCTTTTAGGGGTCAACACGGATAGTGTCCTATGACCCCAGGAACCCACTTCCAGCATTTTCTTAGCAATGCCATTTGGTTTTGCAACCCGGGAGTGATGATACAGGCTGCCCTTGTTGGAGGGAGGGTACTTCTGTTAAAACAGCGACGGTGTCCGGCATTCTAGTGCACACCTGTAATCCCAGCTCTCAGAGGGCAGAGATGGGAGGAGGGTCATGAGTTTGAAGCCAGCCTGGACTACATAGCAAGACCCTCCAAGTGAAACGAAACACCCCAGCAGAGCCGCGTCGCCACAGCCGGGTCTCCTGGCAAGCATCCACTGACACCTGCTTGCTGGCCGCGACTTTGTGGACACCGGCACCGCACCCTTCCAGGGGAGGAGCGCGGAGTCTTGGACGAGGACACAGCATGGAGCTGCTGGGGCCCGGTGGAGTCTGGAGGGGGTCATAAGGGATGGCATTAAAAAACTGTAAGGAGAAGGCACAAGCCAGCCTAGAAGCGTCCTATGCCTTAAGATGCTGAAACATCATGCGACCTGTCACTCACAGCTCTGGGCTGAGCCCCCCCCCAGGTACCTCCGAACGACATCCCTACTTAATGGGTGATGAGTGAGTGGCGGAAATAGAAGAGTGACCCACCCGTAGTGACTCCGGATGTGCGCTCTTCACCAGGACGCCAGGCCTGCCCGGAAGGTGCCGAGCACACGGGATGTGAGGAGTCCTGTGTGCTTGGCTAGGAGGCACCACAGACCAGGAGAAGCCCCGAGGAGGCAGGAGGAGGGAGACCCGGGGTGGAGAGAGCCGAGAGAAGCCCTTTAGGCAGAAAGTCGTCCCCCCACACCAGCCCCCTTCATTCACATAAAGCTGGGTTTGTTTCCATTTATCTGCTTGACTTTGCAGCCGAGATGCTGTTAAAAAAACATATTGCTCTAATTTAAGCCACATGTGCGTGCCCCGGACGGAGGAGCCTAACCGGAAACGTCGGGGCCTGGGTTCCAGACTCCAGAGTCTTGGACCCCATGGACAGAAAAGGGCTCTGGCCTCCGGGGCGAGTCTGAACACCCTTCGAGGTTCTTCGCTGGAATCAGCGTTCTGGGTGTGAGTTAGGGCCGGGTGGACTGAAGAGGGGGTGTGCTTGTGTTAGCATCTGTGGACGAGCACCCTGCACCTGCTCGCGGCCGGGACAAGGAATAAGCAGGACGTGGGGCGGAGTCTTCCCTGTGGCTTGACTCCTCATCAAGTCCATTTATTCTCTTGCTCAGAGCCAAGGTCCCAGTGACACAAAGCAATGTGTCCCGTCGCGGGGTGGGGGGGGTGCAGATGACCCAGCATCAGGCCCCATCCAATCTCACCCTGATGCTTGGCCATGGATGGGATGAGGAATTGCAACCACACCCCACTGATTAAAAAAGAAAGAAAGAAAGAAAGAAGCAAACAAAAAACCCCAGAGAACAAGGATGGTATACTCATCCCAAGATTGTTTTCAGGGCTGGAGAGACGGCCCAGCAGTTGAGAATACTTGCTTCTCTTCCAGAGGACCCAAGTTCAGTTCCCAGAACCCATGTCAGGCTGCTCACAACTGCCTGTAACTCCAGCTCCAGGGGGCACAATGTCCTCCTCTTGCATCTAAGGACACCTACACTTACAAGCACACACCTACACACAAATGCACACAGTAAGAAATAAAAAGGGCTGGAAAGATGGCTCATTGGCAAAGAGCATTGGTTTCTTTTCCAGACGACCAGGGTTTGAGTCCCAGCACCCAAATGACTGCTCAAAACCATCTGTAACTCCAGTTCCTGGGGACTCAACTCCTCCCGCTGGCCTCTGGGGGCGCTGCATGCACGCCGTGTGTTAACACACGCAGGCAAAACACCCATACATATATAAAATGAAAAAAAAAAAAAACCAGACGAAGAAAAGACTGGTTTCCGCCTCTGCCTCTGCGATAGCCCATGTATTATTTGGATGCATTGGTTGGTGCCTGTAAGTGAGAAAACGGAAAGGCCCACCCCACAGGCACATTGGGTATTCAGGATAAACACCAGACGTCAGAACCAAGGAGTGCAATTTTGATGCAAGATCCAAGACCCCTTTGATGAGTTCAAGCTCTAGTCCTGTCAAGATATAGCCCACACAGAAACAATCCCCACATCTGCCACCCCTAGGTTAAACCGTCCACTTGGCCTGGGCTACAATCTTAAGCAAACGCATATTCAAACGTCCAGTAAGTGAAGTGATTGACAGCTGGGTCCTGGGAGGGCTCACACTGGTTGCTTACACCCAGGACCACCAAGGGACCCACCTTCCCTTGTGGCATGCAGGGTACCCACAAACCTTTCACGAAATGGCCACCAGACCTGGATCAAAGGATGCTGTGGGTGGAAAAAAATGTGGGGAAATTGTGAAGTTCATTTTTGTGTTGTTTTTGAGACAGAGTCTTTCCTAGGCCCAGGATAGCCTCCGACTTGCTATGTAGTCAACGAGGACCTTGAATTTCAGCTCCCTTGTCTCTGGCTCCCAAAGGCTGAGGTTACAGGTGTGAACCACCATGTCCACCACTGTGCCTAGCAGATTTTAGGGATTTTTGACTTCTTTGTTTTTAAACATTTTTAAAAAGCATTGTGAATGGAGAAAGAGAGACAGACAGACAGACAAAGAGAGATTATAAACTTGGGTGGGTAGGGAGGTGGGGGGGCAGGAGGTACTGGGTGGAGGAAGCATAATCAACACATATTTTATGAAAAAATAATTAAAAAGACTTACAAAACTAAAATAAAAGCTGGGCGTTGGTGGCACACGCCTTTAATCCCAGCACTCAGGAGGCAGAGCCAGGCGGATCTCTGTGAGTTCCAGGCCAGTCTGGTCTACAGAGCAAGTGCCAGGATAGGCTCCAAAGCCACAGAGAAACCCCGTCTCCAAAAACAAAAACCAAACAAAACCCCTAAAATAGTATTGTGTCTGTGTAAGTATATGTCACATGTGTGTGGACCCCTGAGGAGGCCAGAGACTTTGGATCCCTGGAGCTGCAGTGACGGGTGGTTTGTGAGCCACCTGTGTGGGTGCTGGGTATCAAACTCCTATCCTTTGGAATATGTGCTCTTAACCACTGAGGCAGCTCTCCAGAACCAGTTTTGTTTTGGTTTGTTTTTCTTTTTTCGGTTTTTCCAGACAGGGTTTCTCTGTATTGTTTTGGAGGCTGTCCTGGAACTTGCTCTTGTAGACCAGGCTGGCCTCGAACTCACAGATATCCGCCTGCCTCTGCCTCCCGAGTGCTGGGATTAAAGGCATGCGCCACCAACGCCCGGCTTTTGGTTTGTTTTGTAAAGATTTTTATCTGTGAAGTGCGCATGCCCATGTGTGCTATACCCATGCAGTGCCTTGAAGAACCAGAAGGGGGCGCCGGCTCTCCTGGTGTTGGAATTTCTGGTGGTTGTGGGTACTGGGAACTGAATGTCGGTCTTCTGCAGCAACATCGGCAGGCTCTTTTAACCGCGGGGCTGTCTCGGCAGCCCCAGATGCTAGGGGTTTTAAATGGTGCTAAAACATATTTCTGCCGGGAGGCAGAGGCAGGCGGATCTCTGTGAGTTCGAGGCCAGCCTGCTGTACGAGAGAGGACAGCCTCCAAAACGATACAGAGAAACCCTGTCTCAAAAATCCAACACAAACAAAAATCATATTTCTATCCAAACTGGCAAGGGAGAGCTGTGGGTTTAGCTCAGTGGTACAGAGCTTGCCTTGCGTGTGTGAGCTCCAGGGCTTTGATACTTTGCACTGAGGAGGGAGGGAGGGGGAGGGGGAGGGGAGGAGGAGGGGGAGGGAGAAAATAATGGTAATGAAATGAAAACAGTGTTGAGACTGCTGGAGTGCAGTCTCTAATCCCGCCCAAATCAAAGAGCGCTCCTCGCTCACATGGGTGATACGTCAGCATACTTTGGCTTGCTCCATCAAGGGCAAAGTAAGGAAAGCTCTGGAGTCTCCCAGGCTGCCAGGAACTATTCTGGTTCAGGTTTACAACCAGGATGTAGCTTACCTGGATTTTCCTCCAGGCTAGGAATGGCCTGGAAGGCCCTCCTGGGGGCATGTCACATGTCCCTCTTGGTCCTCCCCCTCCAGATGGGCAAAGGTGGGGGAGTCGTGCTTGCTCTAACATCAAGCACCCAGGAGGGGTGGGGTGGGGTTCTAGTTCTATGGGAGTAGGTGAGCTGCATTGTGCCCAAACGTTTGGAGGATCCCTATGGGGGTGGGGTGGGGGGGAAGCCAGCAGGCGATCCCATAGCTGAGACACTTGGCCAGGACCCAGGCTGAGCACACAGACCTCGAGCGGAGCATAGTACTAGAATGCCAGGTCACAGACGCTCAGCCATGGCCTACGGATTCCAGAACGACTGGAACTCAGCAGCTGAGGCCAGGAGAAGGAAGTGCCGCCTCCACCAGTGTGGCAGCAAGGCCCCTCGAAGGACACTGGCTGCTACATGCCCATTCCAGCAAGGACGGCTGACAGACCAGATGCCAAAGCTGTGTGCCCTTAGTGGGGGCTGGTCCTAAATTTGGGGTTATCAGATTGGTCATCTCAAGCCCCAGCAACCAGTTACAACGAAACTGCTCACCACCGACCAGGTTGGTTAATGGCTGGACAGATGTGTCTGATTCTAAACTCATAGGCATCAAGGGTACCCTTGGCTGCCTCTCCTTCCTCGGTGGAAAATTTCTTAAGGTTTAACAGGAATTTGATGTGACTTTGCTTTGTTTTTGGTTTTTTTTTTTTCCTACTCCCACAAAAGCCCTGGTCTCAAGACACCAAGCTGTACAGTAACTCTGTAATCTTGGGGCTTAATCAAAACCTATTCCTACAACCTATCCTGGCCCTCTGAATAGATGTTTATTTTATAGTAATTTGCTATGGTTCTTTATTTTATTTCTTTTTTTTTTTAAGGGAGAGAAAGGAGAGAGTTTCTCGGAGCTAGACTTTTCCCTGCCCCTGAGCAGGTCTTCCCACCCGAGAGCCTGTGTCAGATGCTCAGTGTCTAGCGTCTAATTAACCGCAGAGCCGTTTGAGGAGAAAGAGGGGAGGACAGGGCATGTGACAAAGAGTTAACAGATGTCATTTTCAGTGGCGGCTGGCCCACTGCTGCTGGGTCATTTGTTGGATGGAAGCCTATTCCACTGCTGTGTCGTAGACATAGAATAGAAATAATTATATGCAGGCTGCATTAGCCATAACAGATTGGCTGTAGAACGTTCTATTAAAAAGCGGCTTCCTACGCTGCTGCTCTCTAGTCAGTGGAGACGACCCCTACCTCCTGGTTCTGAAAGGGCCTCCGAGGAGCGTCACAGACTGTCCCATGGGGAAGTAGGTTAAGTTCCACGCCCCCCCCATGTCCCCACTCCCCGCAAAGGTCTGGGTGCCTTACCTAAACGTACTTCAGTGAGCCAACCCCATGCCCGGCCACAGCAACTACACATTTGCTATTTGAAAAATGAAAGAATTAAATTCAAAACAAACAACTTCAATTTAACACCAAACTACAGGATAACCAATCTTAAAAATGTCACGTTGTAATGGATCTTAATGCCCATTGAAAACAAGAGAGAAAAAACACATTGCACCATTGTTCCCCAGCCATGCAAAGCAACCTCACAGAATCTCAGTGAAGGAGAAAGAAGGGAAAAACACCTTATTACTTCCAACCCCTGCGAGCCATTTTGGTCTCCAAAGGTTTTAGGCTGCCCGAGGCCGTGTGTCTGCAGTGTTTCGGGAAATGACTTGCCTTCGCACGAATGCTGCTCTGTTCTGCAGCGAGGCTGCCTGCCCCGGAGCAGCGCCGCTCCATTTCTGGTTAACTCTTCCTTCCCGGGCCTGCCTGGCGCTTGCAGGAACAAGGCCCAGGGATGTCAAGGCCACAGAGGCCAGGGCTCCTGCGGGGGGGGGGGCACCGTTCCTAGGACCCAGCAACTTCTCAACATAGGCGGCTTCGGCAGAATAGGCAGCTCTCTCTCTGAGAATGTTCTCCAAAGCCACTGTCATCAACACACACACACACACACACACACACACACACACACACACACACACACACACACACACGCACCACACTGAAGCCAGGGGTCAGAAGTGGAAATTTGGGACTAAGGACGGGCAATCCGTTTTCGGGGGGGCATTCAGCAGAGGGCAGCTCTTGTCTCTGCTCTTCCTCTGGTTCGTACCAAGCAAGCAGGGTCTAGCCTGGGACCAGGACACACCTTGAGCCTGAGGCTTTGACTTTTGTGTGTTTGTCTCTGGGGGCGTGCTGAGGACTGAAACGGGGGTCTTGCTGGCATTTGATAATTGCTCTTTCGACTATGCCACACCCCCAGCCACTGTTGGGGGTGGGGTGGGGGGGACTCTGCCCATGTTCTCTTTGACTGAGCCAGGCCCTCAAGCCTTTACTGGGTAGACTGTCCGGTGTTCTGAGGCGGGGTCTCGCTGGTTGAGCAGGCAAGCCTCCAACTCCCCATCTATCCCAGGTTGACCTTAGAGTTATAATCCTCTTGCCACAGCCTCAGGCCTGAGGGTTTTCATCTCCCGTGTGGCCCTGGATGATGAAGGTCTGGCGGCAGAAGTGTTTGAAGAGCAGGGGGAGGACAGAAAACCTCTTAGCACTGAAGAGGTTAATACGATTCCTAAGTGTTCGGCAATCAGGGCGATTTAGTGCCATTTCGATTATTACACAATAAACAGACCATGTTGTCTGGAAGCAAATTTTTATGAGTATAGCTGAAGGGCCTCCAACTTATTTAGCTGCTGAAACCCAGGGAAAGATCATTTCGGAACACGCACACCTTGGACCAGAAATACAGTAAGCAGGGAAGGGTAAATCTTAGGTCACCCCCCCGGCAGCCGCACACCATGACCTTTAGAACAAGGATGTTGGTAAGTGGGGGTGTTTTGTTTTGTTTTGTTTTAACACGGGGCCATTTTAAATACAGTATCATTGCATTCCAGAGTGAGGGATTTGGGAATTTCCAAGAACATGTTAAGTTCAGGAAGGAACAGCATGTTTAACACCGGCTGGGGTTATGTGAACTGGTTTTGGCCGCCTTCAGCATCCACCCCCCCCTGTCTCTGTCTCTCTGTGTCTCTCTGTGTCTCTGTCTCTCTTGTGCATGTGAGCACACACACTCATATACACACACAGAGAGACACTGGTAACTATTGTTTTCTTACAGACCTTTGGGCTCAGTGATCTGTAAAACTAAACACATTCCTAATATAATAAGAAAATTGAGCATTTAAAACTTGACAACCGGTGTCTGGAGAGGCGGCCCCAGTGGTCAGGAGCTTGCATTGTTTACTCTTCCGGAAGACTTGGGTTTGATTCCCAGCACCCACGCCAGGTGGCTCACGATGACTGTGACTCCGGCCTCCTTAAACGCCTGCGTTCATCTGCACCCCTCCACAAACATACGTACACAAAATTAAAAGTAAGTAAATAAAACTTGACAGCGGGAAACGAGGAGAGGGACTGCAGCTTTCAAATCCTGTGTGAGATTTCACGGGTGCCCTAAACTCTGGGAGAGCCCCCCACTCCATTGTGAGATTTCACAGGTGCCCTAAACTCCGGGAGAGCCCCCCACACACCATTGTGAGATTTCATGGGTGCCCTAAACTCCGGGAGAGCCACCCCCCACTCCATTGTAAAATTTCACAGGTGCCCTAAACTCCGGGAGCCCCCCACACACCATTGTGAGATTTCACGGGTGCCCTAAACTCCGGGAGAGCCGCCCCCCACTCCATTGTGAGATTTCACGGGTGCCCTAAACTCCGGGAGAGCCGCCCCCCACTCCATTGTGAGATTTCACGGGTGCCCTAAACTCCGGGAGAGCCGCCCCCTACTCCATTGTGAGATTTCACGGGTGCCCTAAACTCCGGGAGATCCCCCCACTCCATTGTGAGATTTCATGGGTGCCCTAAACTCCGGGAGAGCCCCCCACTCCATTGTGAGATTTCAGGGGTGCCTTAAATTCTGGGAGCCCCCCTGCCCCCTGACTGTTGTCTTCCAGATTTGACACCGGTTCAGCTTTAGGAAAACGAGTTCCATCCATTCTCTACCAACAAAGGAAGGAAATGGCCCTAAGTGATAGTTTAGGGCTCAATATAAAATGGGCATGTGTGAGCCCAGCCTGGCTGTACAGGTTTGTCATTCCAGTTACTTAAGAGGCTGAGGCAGGGGAATGGAAAAAGTGAGGTCAGTGTTACCTGGCAACTTAGAGACTCCTTCAAGATAAAAAGATATTTTTTAAAAGAACAGGGGAGTAGTTCATTAACTCAGAGAGAAAGAGAGAGAGAGAGAGAGAGAGAGAGAGAGAGGGAGAGAGAGAGAGAGACAGAGACAGAGAGACAGAGAGAGAGAGAGAGAGGAGAGAGAGAGCGCTTGCCTAGCAAGCTCGGGCCCTAAATTTAATCGAATGGACATAGAAGCTTCATGCTTGCACATTTTAGGACTTGCAGAGATCTCTTCCTACCATAAGGCGTCTACATAGTGAGACAAACCAGGTATCATTCTCACCCCCACTTTACAGATGGAACAATTGAGGCTTCAAGAAGAAACAACGTGGTTAGTCCACACCATTACCGCCTGTAGTGCAGGCAGGAGCCACCTCCAGGAGGGAAGGACCGTCAGGAGAAAGGCCATCTAGACCTCCTTGAGAGAACTGGACAGTTTGGCCTAAATCCGATGCCAAGGCTGCAGGCTAAGGGGAGAGGAGAGGAGGGGAAGAAGGGGACCCCTTTACTCTTAGGGGTCCCTAGGGACTGTACAGCTGGATTTGGGCAGCACAGGGCCAAGACACAGGCTCAAAGGTATGTCCCACTTCCCAGACAAAGAGTAAGCCTTCTGCTGAAGCTGAGAGAGCAGCGCGCGTGTGTGTGTGCGTGTGTGCATGCATATGTGTGTGCATGCATGTGTGCGTGTGCGCGCGTATGTATGTGCGTGTGTGTGCGCGCGCCTGTGAGAGTGTGTGTATGTGTGCGTGTGTGCATGCATATGTGTGTGCATGCATGTGTGCGTGTGCGCGCGTATGTATGTGCGTGTGTGCGCGTGCCTGTGAGAGTGTATGTGTGTGTATGCATGTGTGCGTGCTTGCGCGTATGTGCATGTGTGTGCGTGTGTGCGCGCGTGTGAGAGTGTGTGTATGTGTGCGTGTGTGCTCTCAAACACTCAGATGCACACAAAGCTTCCAGGGCCGCCTCAAAACAAACAAACCAACCAACCTCAGCTTGAGTGCCTGGGCAGAACCTAAGGCTTGAACCAATGGGACATTCGGGAGGTTCTCAAAGCAAGCACACCTTGAAAACCGTTGTGGGAGGCACAGAGATGGTGGAGTCCGCCACACGGGGACACCACTCGGCTTGTGGCCTTGGCCTCGGGGTTCCAGAAGCCTGGGACACACAGCCGAAGGCACAGGTCGGGGTCCCTAAATCGCTGTCCGTCTCCTTAAGAGGTCACGCTCTTCCCTCTCCGAAGGGAGCAGGCAACCCGTGGTCATTCTGGGGCATGGCAGAAGAGGGTACACGGACCTCGAAGGATCCGAGCAAGAAAAGGATGACAACGGCCGCCACAGAGAAAATCCCGTACCCGAGGCTCCGATGCAAACCCAGGTAGGTCCTATTAGGAGCCCAGAAGCCACTGGGCTCAGAGTTCTTCCAGACTGTATTCTGAATTCTCTTTGAAGTGTTTATAATTGGCCACTCAGAATAACCACAGTGCTTATATAGAGACATCACGCACGGGGCCCTGTCTCAGGGGCAGGGTCACAGACGCACACGGTGATTCAGTCTGAAAATAATTTCCAAGTAAGGCAGGCTCAACCCCGATCATCTTGGAACACGCAGGAGAGACGCAGATGAAAACACCGCTCCTTAACCCTGCCCTGGGTGACCGGGTCCTCGCCTGGATCCTGCAGGGACCCGGGCTTTCCCATGACAGTACTCTTCTCCAGGCCCCGCCCTCGTCGTGTTTGATTGACAGAGTCTCCTCATGTAACCTGGGCTGGCATGGACCTTGCTGTACTACTGAGGCTGGTCTCAAACTCACCAACCTCCTGCCTCAGCCCCCCCCCCCCTGCCCCAAGGACCTGAGACTCAGGCCAACACCAACAAGCCCAGCTCCCACCTCTTCCTCTCAACTCCCTCCTTTCTTTTCCGATCCTGCCATGCCAGGAAGAACACTTGCGGATGCCTTGGAGTCCCTGGTATTCTTCATCTCGAAACCCAAGGCAAAGCTACGATCCTGTGTGTCTATGGGAAGGGTTCAATGGGATATGAATAACACATTTAATAAAATAATTATTATTTTTTCATAGGAAAATCTACATGCCAGGAGGAAAAAAAATAGCCACCACAGGTTTTATTATTTTTTCAGAAGGATTCGTTATTTCTTGGGTTGAGGGAGTGGCTTTAGCAGGAGAACTTGTGCCTAACATGCTCAGGGCACTAGGGTCCACCCACAGTACCACAAATACAAAAAGGTGCGTTGCTTCACATAAATGATTTCAGTTACAAAATGGCTTTCTAGAGGGGCTGGAGAAATGGTTCAGTGTGTAAGTGTAAGCGTGCTTTCTAGTCTTGTAGAGGGGGTGCCGGGTTCCCAGCACCCATCCTGGAAGGTACACAGCCACTTACAGCTCCAGTTCCAGAGAATCAGATGCCCCCTTCTGGCCTCTGTGTGCACTGCACCCATGAGCACAGACACAATATACACGTAATTAAAAATCAAAATAAAATCATTAAAAGGATAAAGCAAAATGCAATTCTCAATTTGGGGGCGGTGTTGCAGTAATTTATGGCAAGGAGAGCTAAAGAGAAAAGCTAGCACTAGGCAGTGTCCTCCCCTGACGACTCCCAAATTGCTATTCCAAGGAAAACAGACTCCCCCAAATTCTGCATTTTTATTATGTAGGCCTATGTTTGCATTTATGTCCTGTTCTGAGTTAGCAGACATCAAATGCTGGAAAATTACAAATGCATAAAAACAGAAAGAAGGATGCACATTTTTTTTAAATCTCACTGGAGCCTACACAAACCTCTAGCCATAGCAGATACGCCTGTGTTAAAACACGTGGTGATCCTGAGACAGCCCGAATAGTGCTAAACAGAAAAACCCTGAAAAGCAAACTGATCCCTTCGGATGAATATTATTCTCAATAAAGAATCTCTGGCTTCTTGTTTTCTTCCCATGTGTGGAAATAGACCTCAAATCTTTTTTTTTTTTTTCTTACGGAACACAAACCCACAACAGAATTAAAAAAGAAAGAAGCCAAAAGAACAAACTTTAAAACCTTGCATTATTATTGTTGTTATCGCTAGTACTATCATTATATGCTATTCCTAACTTGTTAAACCTGATCAAATAGAAAGCCTCGAAAAGAGAAAAAAAAAAATTAAGCCAACGAGAAAAGTGTGACTTGGTTTTAATATTTTATAATTGCCAAGGGACATAAGGAGATCAATGGATTTTTGCCCGAGATGAATGTCAGAAAGAGATGTACTTCAGTCTTTTAGGGAATATCGGCCTATTTAGTTCCCGCGTCTGATGCATGCGAAATAGGCCTGCCTCGGCCTTCTATCTTTGCCGGGGGCCTGGCTGGCGGCGGACATTGCCAGTTTTAATAGGGCCCAGTCCACGGAGTGGCAAGGGACCCTCCACTCTAACGGATCTGCCCGTTTATTCTCTGACACCTGTTCCCCCCCTCCCTGGCTAATCTTAGTTTTGCATGCTGAGCTGTTTCAGTTTAAATGAAGAAAAAGAAAGGGGGATGGGCGGGGCCAGGCGGCTAGAAAGGCTGGGGTGGGGTGGGGTGGGGGTGGGTGGGGGTGGGTGGGCGCGGCCGGGCGGCTGGTAAACTAGCATTGTGTCCCGGATGGTGTAGTCCAGGTACCAGGTACCGTTCGTTATCCGAGATCAGGGGAGGGGATTTGCTGGGGACACGATTCACTCCACTTGCTGGAGCAATTTACATTTTACCCATGCTTGAGTTTTTATAGAGAAAAAAAAAATGGGATGGTCCAAATCGCTGTCTCTGTAACGCGCCCCCCTTGTCTGTAGCAGACGTGAATCGCTGGCCTCGGGCCCCAGATGTCCTCATCTTCCGATCTCAGACATTGGTCAGTGACTTTTCCAGCCCCTGGGGGGTGCCGCCCCGGAGCTCTCTTCAGGGTCACACAAATGCCGGATCGCTTCGCTTTGTCTAACGAAAACTCAGAGAGACACAAGGAGGCTATGCTAGGTGCCCTTACACAGATAGCGAGGATCAATGACTTTAAAACAGCCCTCTCACCAAGCGAGAGCTCAAAGGAAGTTCCAGAAACCTTTTAAGGGATGGTCAGCAGGATTATGTTGGGCGGAGGAGGGCAATTTTTTCTTCTCTCAATATTGGAGATTGAATTTCCTCAGGCTGGGAAAGGGCCCCATCCATTGATCTATCTCTTTTTAGAGCTTAAATTTTTATTTTTATTTTTTTTTACACAACAGGGTCTCACTAAATTGATCATTCCGGCTTTGAATTGACTCTGCAGCCTGGGCCTTGAACTTGTGACTTTTCCTGGAGCCTCCCCAAGACGCCTGGATCGTTTAGTCTGACACTCCCCTAGCAGAGTAAGTCATCCGCCACGGTGGAGAAGATTGCCCGAGAGACCTGCGCTACAGATGGGGTGGATGGACAGCACCAGTTCCCCCACTAAATCCACCCGGTGCCTCCAGGTTTGAAGGGCTCCCCCACCTGTAAAGCCAGTTTGGATGCAGAAACGTGCCCTGGTCTCAGTAAAATAAAATAAAATGAAATTCTCTTGGGGTGCGAGAGATGATGCTTCTCCCCAGCAGAAGGTCCCTTGTAAGCTACCCGGCCCTCACAGGCCACACGCATGCCCTCCTGGCAGAAGAGGAGTCACACTGCCGCCCAGCCCAGGCAGAAGCGACGAAAATCCACCCTGCAATCTGGAAAACACTGAGGGAATTTAGACGAGCCGGGAGAGAGAGAACTTGACCTGTCGTGGAGCCGAACAAAACGGGGTCTCCGGAAGCATTAAACAGGCTGTCCACAGCTCTCCGGATAAAATCCTCTTAGACAAAACAATAGCCAGATACCCTCCTCCTGCCCTCACATGACTGAAAGATGGGTTTTTTTTCTTTTTTTTTTTTTAAGGCCGTGTCTCGAAGCTATAGTCTGTCACTGCAAGAAGCAAGCCCGAGGCACCCCAGCTGCATCTAGATTCTCACTGCGGATTTTCTTTTTCCTCCTTAATTCTCAATAAAGGCAGGAGACTGTTTGCCTACAGATCCCACAGACATTCTTAGGCCCAAACACTCCCTCCCTCCCTCTTTCTCTCTGTCATCTGCTTTTTTCTTCTTAGGACAAGGTCTAGTTGTGTCATTCAGGCAGGCGGAGTGCTGAGACTATGAGCTCCAAGCTTGGACTTGAGTTGTTGGTGTGCGTGTGTGTGTGTGTGTATGCGTGCATGTTTACTTGACGTTTTTTTTTTTGTTTGTGCGTGCTTACTTGAGTTGTTTTTTGTTGTTTGTTTTCAGCTGTGTCATCTCCCAGCAAAGCCCACAGCACTCAGTGATTTTTTTTTTTTTTGGTTTTTTTCGAGTCAGGGTTTCTCTGTATTGTTTTGGAGGCTGTCCTGGAACTCGCTCAGTAGACCAGGCTGGCCTTGAACTCACAGGGATTCACCTGCCTCTGCCTCCCGAGCAGTGATTTTTTTTTCTTCGCTCAGGAGCATCTTTCTTAGATTTATTATTTTTCTCGCTTGTGGATCTGTGTACGCACAGTCCCGGCGGGGGGGTGGGTTTCCTCCTGAGGGGGCCAGAAACGGGTGTCAGATCCCTTGGGTCTGGAATTCTAGCAGTGGTGGGCCACCTAAAGTGGGTGCCGGGAACCAAACCCCGACCTCTGCAAGAGCAGTAAAGGCTCCTTTGGGTTTTAACTCCCTTTTTGTTTATTCTTGGTGGTGTTCGAGTCACGCATCTCCACCCCATTCATCCCTCTGCCCTTGCGGCCCCCCCCAAAGTAAAATATAATTTAAGAGGAAATTAAAAAAAGAGAGAAAGCCGGGCGGTGGTGGCGCACGCCTTTAATCCCAGCACTCAGGATTAAAGAGCTAGTTCCAGGACAGCCTCCAAAGCCACAGAGAAACCCTGTCTCGAAAAACCAAAAAAAAAAAAAAGAGAGAGAGAGAAAAGTCTCATCATGGAAGCTGCAGTGTGACCCTGTGAGTCACACTGTCAACCCTTTTGTCCGTATGTCCTTACCTGTAAGTGTTCATTGCAGAGTCACTGGTCTTCTTCAAGGCCTCTGGTTTCTGCTCCCCTGGGCCCTCACGGAGCTCTTCTGGCGTATCCCGTCTTTGCCCTGGGTGGTGGAGATCCTCCAGCTTTGGACCTGCAGGACCGGACCCCTTCATGTCCTCCAGCAGATGGTAGATGGGGTGGTTTTTTTTGTTTGTTTTGTTTACGACAAGTTTCTCTAGGTAGCCCCAGCCTGTCCTGGAACTCACTAGGTAAACCAGGCTGACCTCAGACTCACAGAGATCCTCCGGCCCGCGCCTTCCAAGCGCAGGATTAGAGGCGTGCCTTGCACCTAGCGCGGTAAACAGTCCTGACTGCTGAGGTCTCTGCAGCCTCCCTCTGGCACCACCTGTTAGACAGAAATACCCACTGACTCCTAGTGCATCCAGGCTCTGGACTACACAGCTCACTGTCCGCACGGAGCCGACAAGGGGCACTTCTATTTGCTAAAGAAATGAAGGGTGGGGAGATAAGCCAGTGGGTTAGCACAAGGACCCGGGTTTGGATCCCGGCCCCCCTCTAAAAGCTAGGCACCGCGGGAGTACTTTGTAGCCCCTGAGGGAAGATGGCTGGGGCTTGCAGGCCTGTGAGGCAGGCTGGAAAACAAAACAAACAAACAAGAACAACCCCACAGATTCCAGGTTCAGTGAGTGTGCTAGAGCAGGGCACGCAATGCTTTTTTCTGTCTGCGGTGTGCACATATGGATTGCACACACGCACACACACACACACACACACACACACACACACACACGGGGGGGGGGAGACCCATGCTCTACCATGAGCTATCTGGGCTCGCACAAATAAAACAAAATAAAATACAAAAATATAGTATATAGGGCATCCTGCTTACCTCCCTACAGAATGGCATTCATTTCAGTATCTAACAGGTTCTCTCTCTCTCTCTCTCTCTCTCTCTCTCTCTCTCTCTCTCTCTCTCTCTCTCTCTCTCTCCCTCCCTCTCTCTCTCCCTCTCTCTCCCTCTCTCTCTCTGTCTTTTCCTCTCTCTCTCTCTCTCTCTCTCTCTCTCTCTCTCTCTCTCCCTCCCTCTCTCTCCCTCTCTCTCTGTCTTTTCCTCTCTCTCTCTCTCTTCTTCCTCCCTCTCTTTCACCAATAGCAAGTTACAATAAAGTAATGGGGAAGCCCACACTATGACTAAGAGCAAGCCTCGAGGTGTTGGCACACGCCTGTAACTCCAGCTTCTCAGGAGGCTGAGACAGGAGGATGGGGAGTGTAAAGCCAGCTTGGGCTACGTACTGAGACCAGGTCTTACTAAAACAAGATAGGCCTAGGAGGGATTGTGGCTCAGCGGTAGACTGCTTGTTCAGGCTCCAGAACTAGAAAAAGAACTGCCCACAGCGTGCTCGCTGCATGCGGGGGTGGGGGTGGGGGGGTAGGTGAAGTGGGGAGGGGTGGGGTGGGGGAACCATGCAGTCCCAGAACCATCCCCCGCCCCCGCCCCAATCTGCATGTGGACCTGGGCGCTCACTCACAGACCCAGTGTGCAGAACAGACAGGAACAACAGACTCAAGTTGGAAGTGATTTACTTCATTAGCTGGGATTACAAGTTTAACTCACAAACCAGAGGTCAACATTTCTCATTAACAAGGGGGCCGTGAATGGCTGCGGGCTGTGGTTCAAGAAGAGACCACTCTTATTACTAACTACACATTTCAATCTGCCTTTGATGTCCTCCTCCTCCTGCCTCCCTTTTATTTTTTGGCAGAGGAGCTGATTTTAATTGTGGCACTCCAGCAAGGCTCTCTCTCCATCCCAGGGAGCAGCAGCCTCTTGTCTGCCGCCGCCGCAGAGCGAGAGAGCCAGGCTGCAAGATTGGGTGCAGTCCATCGCTCAGGGCACATTTTAATGGCTCCCCGTTCCTACAAGGCTCGGATTGTTTTCCACGTGACTCTGGTTAATTTAGCTGCGGGAAAGGGCATCGGTTTTCCTTGTGAGCTTCTGATCCTGTCTGCCTCGGCGAGGTGAAATGCATTAAAACAGGGAAGGAGGCATCATTGCGAGTTACCAGATGCCAGGACCAGACCTCGCACGTTCTCCAAAACCCAGAATAAGAGAAAGGTGTTTGGCAGAGGTCGTCGGGCTGTTAAAAAGCGCTCTTTTGATAGATCAGCTTTGGTTGTTGACAAAATCCTCAACGTCTGCTCGGGCCTCCTCTCTTCAAAACCGTTGCCAAGGGTTAAAAGAAGCAAGTTAAATGAAACGAAAACCTTCGAGGAGGATTCTAGCCTTGGAGTCTCAAAACCCCAAACCACAAAATCCTCCCCCAAAAGAACACCAGGAAAACGCAACGGCAGCTCCAGTCTGTCTCCCTCCTTCTCTTTCTCTCTTCTTTTTTAAAATGATTTAATTATTATTACTATTATTATTTTTGGTTTTTCGAGACAGGGTTTCTCTGTGGCTTTGGAGGCTGTCTTGGAACTCACTCTTGTAGACCAGGCTGGCCTCGAACTCACAGAGATCCGCCTGCCTCTGCCTCCCGAGTGCTGGGATTAAAGGTGTGCGCCACCAACGCCTTTAATTTTTATTGTTATTGTTATTATTATTATTATTATTGGTATAAGGTCTCACTATGTAGCCCTGGCTGTCCTAGAATTCACTATGAAGTGACCAGGTTGGTCTTGAACTCACAAAGATCCGCCTGCCTCTGCCGCCAATGGCTGGGATCAAAGGTGTGGGCTACCATAACCGTCTTCTTTCTCCTTTCCATGCTAGGATTTCCTTATGTAGCCCATGCTGCCCTTGAACTCCAGGCTGATCTAGAATTCTCCATCCTCCTGCCTCTGCCTCTGAGACGCTGGGATTATAGGTGTGGCCAATGCCCCCCCCCAGCTTGCACAGCTTGTTTCTGAGGCTCAGTGATCATTGTCTAACAGACCTGGGGCTTCAAATGGATTCACAGAGACGATGGCCATACCTACTAATTCAGGCGCATTGGGAATGGCTAAAGGGCTATTCTAGTCTAGTCTAGGAAGGCCACATTCAAACTAGTTAAACGTTACCCTATTCCTTGGTCACCACGGGAAGACCCACAAATGACAGAGATGGGTACCCATTGCCCGGTGGGGGAGCTACCGTGTTGCTCCACGGGACAGAGTTCAGCCAGCTTTCAGAGCCTAGGCTCGCCCACGTTGTCACACCAGCTTCCAGACGTGGTCCGGGACAGGCAGTTTGCTATCGAGGCCCCAGCGCTGGAGTAGGTTGGGTGTCTGCAGAAGGTGACCCTCCTGGTGTTTCGGTTCCCATCTGGTGCCCCGGGGCCTTCCCATGCTCGGGAGAAGGGGCGCTATTTCTGTTTTCTTTGTTAGCGCCCAGGGCGAGGCTCCAGTGCCTGAGAACAACAACCTTACAGAAGGGCATGGTTCTGGAGAGGCGGCTCAGAGCTTAAGAGCAGCACATGGTACTCCTCTTGCAGAAGACCTGAGTTCCTAGCAACCAGGAGAGGCTATTCACAACTGTCTGTAACTACAGCTCCGGGAGATCCAAGTCCCCCTTCTGGATTCTGCGGGCACCAAGGTACTCATGTGTTGCACACACATCCATGCAGTCAAAACACTCAGACACACTGTTAGGTCAGTGTCAGCTTCGATAGGTTAATAAGCCCCTTAGTTAGCCCGTGGCACCCACCATAAGTTTGAAAAACATAAAATCTTCAAGGAGAGCCGGGAAGAGCCATTCCGAGCCAGTGGCAGTCCGTGGCTCAGGACCAGGAATCCACAGGGGCGGTGACCAGGCGGACTGCAGCCATTGATGCTGGAGGACCCATGGCACCATCCCAGAGCGTTCTCCAGCCAGCCCAGGCGGTCACCTTGACGGGCGTCGCTGGGGGAGGGAGCTGCATCAACACGAGGCATCCCAGAAAGGTTATTATCGCTGTCTAATTTCAAACAAGCTTCACAATGGAGGGCTGTCTTTGTGTGGGATTAATTTTCAAACCCCAGGATTTGATGTCAGTGGGAAAGCAGCTGCATGGGACTCCCTCTGCAACCTTCTCCCCCTTCTGGCCAGCGCCAGGGGCTCCTTGGGAGATGAGAACTCTGACAAGCCCTTCAGTCAAGCTGAAAGCAGCCGAGGTCCAGTAACACCCACAGCCCCCGAGGGCATCCCGTGACCCTTCCGAAAAGTCACGTTCACTTTGCTCTTGAGAAAGGAAAAATAATGCCGGAGGCATTTTTATTTTAAACCATGTGAAATAAGGAAACGTGAAGATGCGAAAATGAAGTGGAAAAAAAAAAGTTCGAATTCATTTCCGTTTTTGCAACGGCTTAGAAGCCAAACTGGTTCATTTTGAAGGCGTGGAAAAAGAGAATCTTATCCATTCACCAGTAGGCACAGTCTACAAAATGCTTAAGGTAAAATATGTAAATATGGAAAATTATCTGTTGAAAACCATCTCCTTTTGTGCTTGGAAGAAATTTTTTTGAAGCATCTGTACTTTTATTCTGCATTAATATACCATTGAGCGGAAAAGTTACTATTTTTGGGCAGGTGCTGAGAAATTGAGGCATTCTAAAATGAAGTCTATGGGTAGGAAGGATTTCTATGGCATTGCGCACCTGGGTGGCATTGTTAGTAATAATTTAAAGAACGTTATTAAAGATAATAAATTACAGAATCCATATTTCAAAAGTGTTCTTTGTATGAAAACTCGACACAAAATTTGACTTCCGGTCTCCACTGTGGTTTCTCTTGGAAACTGTGTTTCTGTCCTCTCTGGATGTCCTGTTTGTCCCCCACCCCACCCCCGACTGTCTTTACCAGGACCCTCAGTGGTGAGTCCACACACACCTCACCAATAACTGGCTACAGGTAGCCTATCACAGTTCCATGTTCGGTCTCATTTGTTTTTAATATGAAGAAGAGGGGCTGATGAGGTGTCTCAGCCAGTGAGATGCTTGCCACGCAAGCGTAAGGCCCTGAATATGATCTCCATGTAAAATATGTTAGGTATGACAGCTAGTGCTTGTAATGTAGTGAAGTGTTCAAACGGGCAGACTCCTGGGGCTCTCCCTGGCCAACCGCTAAGCTTAATCGGTCAGTGCTGGGCCATTGAGAGACCCTGTCTCAAAAACCAAAAAAATATGGTGCACTCAGAGGATTGACCACTGAGGTTTTCCTCTGGTCTCCACACACATGCACACATATGTGTACACACACACACACACACACACACACACACACACACGCACACTCATACCAAGAGCCAGATAGGGTGAGGCAAGCCTGTAATCCGAGGGTTTGGAAGGCTGAGGCAGGGGGATTGCAAGCTTGATGACTGTCGTCGGGGCTACACAAGGAGGCTCTAGAGACTACAATGCGTTGATGAGGCAGGCGGTTGAATACATGTCTGTAGCTGAATCATCATTCATCGCGTCCGATTTTTAAATATTGTTATGGTTTGAATGTGGAATGTCCTCTGTGGTCTCACACGTCGGGACACTTTGTGCATAAGACCTGATCAGCTAAGCTTCCACGCCAAGTTCCTGAGACACTGGGCTTCTGGAGGGGCACCGTGTGGACTGGAACCTGCATTGTCCAGGCAGCGACTGCGTAGACTGTGCAGCAGAGTAAAGGTGCTTTGAGATAAAACGCTGTTCTCTGCAGATCCACAGGGACTTTCAGAGAGGCGTCATGCAGAACACCTTGCAGGCCCACTCAGTCTTCTGCTCCCTTTCCTTCCCCTTCCTTCCATGGTTTTACAGTGGGTCCAAACCTCACATCACCTCAACAGGGCTATCCAGGAGTCAGAAATACTAAAGCACACAGACATATACATACACTGCCCTCACTGGGGTTTTTTTTTTTTTCCTGTTTCCAACTTGACACAAGCTAGAAGAACATCTGGGCAGATGAGCTTTGACTGAGAAAATACCTTCATCAAAACACCTGTAGGTACGACTGTGAACATTTTCTTGATCAATGATTGATGTGGGAGGGTCCAGCTCACTGGGGCGATGCCACCCCAGGCAAAAGTCTTGCATGGCATAAGAAATTAAGCGGAGCTAGCCAGGGGGTGCAAGAGAGGAGGCAGCGTCCCTCCATGGCCTTAGCTTCTGTTCCTGCCTCCAGGTTCCTGCCTGCCGTGAGTTTTTGCCCTGATGAATTACAAAATGTAAGCTGAAATAGCCCTTCCTTTCCCAAGCTGCTGCTAGTTACAGTGTTTATCATAGCAACAGAATGCAAACTCTCAATCTCTCTCTCTCTCTCTCTCTCTCTCTCTCTCTCTCTCTCTCTCTTTGTCTGTCTCTCTCTCCCTCTCTCTCCCTCTCTGTCTGTCTGTCTCTTTCTCTTCCTTTCTGTCTGTCTCTCTCTCCCTCTCTGTCTGTCTGTCTCTCCCTCTCCCTCTCCCTCTCTGTCTGTCTGTCTGTCTGTCTGTCTCTCTCTCTCTCTCTCTCTCTCTCACACACACACACACACACACTCACACACACCACAGTGGTGTGTAGAAAGGCTTCCTTGATCCTTGCCATGCAGGTAGAAGGCAGGTCCACAGGGCCTCCTTGCTTCTCTTAGACCTGGGAAAGGAGAATGCCACGAGCCAGAAAACCTCAGACAGGTAGGCACATGTACGAGGATGAAGTATTGCCGGTGGTGTGTATGTAAGCTTTTATTTTTATTTTATTTTATATTTATTTATTTTGTTTTTTTTTTTTTTGAGACAAGATTTCTCTGTATAGTCCTGGCTGTCCTGGAACTCACTCTGTAGACCAGGCTGGTCTCGAACTCACAGAGCTCCACCTGCGTCTGTCTCTCGAGTGCTGGGATTAAAGCGTGCGCCACCGCCTCCTGGCTATTTTTTTTTAACGTTACATTAAAAATGATTTAGCTGATTGCTGGCTTGAAGACAGCCAGACGCTGCCCCCTCCTTCCCAGCAAGTGTTTCTCTTACCTCTTACCCCTCCCTGGTCCTGGTCTTGCTCTAGGGGTTAGGAACCAGCAGAATCATGGGGGACCCACTGCTGTTCCATCAAAGGGCTGTGAGCAAACTCTTAACTGACCCTTCTCAGGCCAAGACCATTGCTCCCTCCCTAAACTTCATGGGTTTCTGAAATCATTAACACTAAAAGTCCAGCTTTAAGAAGCCAGGGGGAGCCGGGCGTTGGTGGCGCACGCCTTTAATCCCAGCACTCGGGAGGCAGAGGCAGGCGGATCTCTGTGAGTTCCAAACCAGCCTGGGCTACAAGAGCGAGTTCCGGGACAGCCTCCCAAGCCAGAAAAACCCTGCCTGGAACCCCCGCCCCCCCAAAAAAGAGGCCAGGGGGAGAGGTTCATGTGAGTCTGTGACATCAGCACTCACAGAAGCCAAGCCCTGGGGGGGGGGTATAAGGCTGTCCCGGGCAATGCAGCCAGATCCTGTTTCAAAAAGGAGCAAAACCAGAGTGGAAAGAGCCGCCGAATTAAACTGGAACTTTTCCTGCTCGTCGCACAAAAGGCAAACCATCCTGTCTAAATCACACCCGGAAAGCACAGTCAGATTGCGCAATAGTCCCCTGCTCTGTTAAGATCTTGAAATAGCTGGAGGAGCTGGGTGGGCATGTTGGCACATGCCCGCAACCCCAACACTCCGGGAGAGGGGGCACAGGAAGGTCAGGAGTTCAAGTCTTCGTCCATGGCTAAGGAGCAAGTGCGAAACCAACATCGGGCGCAGGAAGATGTGTTCTCACCGTCGCCGAGGCTTCCGAAGACCCACACACGGGGCTGAGGGCTCTGTCACGTACGTCCTTCTGCATGGGCCCAGCAACCCGGGTGCCAAATCTAAGGTTGCAAAAGTTACAGGTGCCAACCACAGGGAGAGGGTGGGGCGTAAATTTAGCCTGAGCCCAAGGTCCCCACACCAGGGAGACTTGGAGTCTTCGCTCCTATGCACACCTTGGGCACGGCTCTCCCCCACCCGTGTGTGGGGATGTTGAGTCCTGAGACTGCCATCGGATCCTCGCCATCCTCACGGTGAACCTGCGGCAGGGCTTCCCGACACGGTAGCCGTTTGTTGGTGCGGAGGGCAGACGCGCCGTGCTGGAGGCTTTCAGCAAATTCCTTGCCCAGATCAAGGGTCAGCTTCCCCCGGACCATGCCTCAGAAGGCTCGGCAGCAGGAGAGATTCATGGTGTGTGGAAGCCAAAAGACTGCATCCGGTCTCAGGTCCCCTGGAGCTGGAGTTGTAGGTGGTTGTTAAGTCACGGGGCATGCATGGGTGCTGCAACCCAATGTCCGGACCTTCCGGAAGCGCAGACTGTGCTGGCTCCTAGTCACCAAGCCACCTCTCCCGACCCCGACGTACTTCTTTAAAAAAAAAAAACTTTTAAACTTTTACTCGCCAAGCCCAAGAGCACATCTTATTCCCTTCCAAGCTTTCCTCCCCGTTTCTGCGCTGCTGTTTCAGTTTTTGACTCTTGGGTGGTTAAGAACAGCTCTCACCAATCTCGGTCTCGGCGCTGTCAGCTCTTGGAGTCATGCGGCATCATTGGTCTGCAGAACCTGCTTTGGACTCACTTTGACTTTGAACCCTGACCACCACCTCCCGGCTTCTCCTTCCCCTCTCCAGCCCCTGGTGGCCCCCAGTCTACCTGTGTCTGAGAGTCTGATGATTTCCTGTCCTGCGTGTGAGTGAGACTACACCCTCGGGGCTCTCTGCATCCGGCTGGCTTCACTCAGCACGGTGACCTCCGGGTTCGTCTACACAATTTTGTTTTGTTTGTTTTTGTTTTTCGAGGCAGGATTTCTCTGTATTGCTTTGGAGGCTGTCCTGGAACTCGTTCTGTAGACCAAGCTGGCCTCGAACTCACAGAGATCCGCCTGCCTCTGCCTCCCGAGTGCTGGGATTAAAGGCGTGGGCTGCCAACACTAGGCTTATTTTTTTAAATTTGTTTATGTGTGTGACTGTGGGAATGTCACGTGTGTACAACACCTGTGGAGGACAGAACAGGGCACTGGATCCTTTGAGTTGGAGTCACAGGAGTTTGTGAGCCACCAAATGTGGGCCTTGGAAATGTTGACTCCTTCCCCACTTCTGGAAGAGCAGCAAGCAATCCTCAGAGCCACTGAGCTGTCTGGGGGTGGGGGGAGCATCTCCACACGCATCTGCTGGCTGTGTTGTTTTAATTATTAATTAATTAGTGTGTGTGCTCGCGCGCGCGCGCGTGTGCATGCATGTATCACAGCACGCATGAGGTCAGGGAACAACCTGCAGGGGTTAGTTCTCTCTCACCATGCAGGTCCAGGAACCCATCTCAGATAGCTGGGGTTAGCCGCAGGCACCTTTACGTGCTGGTCCATCTCTTCCCCCGGCAAGCCACATGTCTTCCGTGCTGGGGCAGACACCATGCTCGAGACATGTTCGATTAACCCCGACATGGATGGCCACAGCAGCTTTGGGTCACGTGGCTCTCACGGGTTCCTTCAGAGGGGTACAAGTAACCGCAACTGCCATGAAGCCTTCCCAGTGTCTCCCAGGGATTGGGGATTGAGGAGGCTGGAGCTGGGCCACCTCGGGGCAGCCATTAGCCAGGATCCCCTTGAGGGAGATCTCTGGCGTACCCCACCTCAGGCTCCCAACAGATGTGCTGCTGTGAATGGTCTGGTCTCAGCCCATGAGATCTTTGTGGGGTTCTGCCTGTTAAAGTGCCTGTCTGCAATGGACAGTCACCATGTCCCTTAACCCAGCCATAGTAAGGACACCCTCACCCCAACTTCCTGGTGGAGTTGTGATTTTTCTTTCTTTCTTTTTTTTTTTTAAGTCAGGGTCTCTACGTAGACCAGGCTAGCCTTGAACTCACAGAAACGGGACTGTTTCACCTTGCAGGTGCTGGGATTAAAGGTGTGGGTCCCTCCCAGCTGTGACGGCTGACCTTGACTGTCAACTTCACGCAACTCAAATCTCTTAGGAAATCCAAGCCTGGGTGTGTCTCCAGAGAGGGAACACCCACCCTGAAAGTGGGAGCCCCCACACCACGGGCTGGAGTCCCGGGATGAGTAAAAAGGAGCAGGGCAGCAGAATTCACCTCTCAGCCTCCTGTCTGGGGTCACAGTGTGTCCAGTTGCTTCGAGTGCTCCTGCCACAGTGACTTCCTCCCCAACATGGGCGATAATTTCATCAAAGACCAAAATAAATCGTTTCCTTCTTAAGTTGCTCCTGCCGGGGTGCTTTGCCGCAGCCACCAGAAGAGTGGCTACTACGGGGCTTTGGGAAGAGTTGGATTCGAGCTCACGTCGTCCTGCTTGCCGCCGTGCCCGATCCGGCTCTGAGCTCCCGAGCCACGCCCGCTCCAGAAGTGCAGGCACGTGCTGATAGGTGCATCCAGGGCCCAGCCACCGTCATCCCCGCCCTGCCCATGGTCCTCGGCCCCTCCCACCTCAGAGGATGATGGGTAACAGACCACAGGCACGGCATCATCCCTGAGCTTCAAAGCACCACCGGCTGAAAGCTCAAGGAGTTTTAGGGGGACTGGGGTTCTGAAGGCCAGCAGATGTGATTTGGGGCCAATTTTAATACCTCCTATGCAACATTTGATACTGAAAAATCCTGGTTGAATCCCAGCCCTGTGAGATAGCCTGTCTCTTGGGGTCATGTGCTGCTGGCCCAGCCCTGTGAGATAGCCCCGTCTCTCGGGGTGACATGCCGCTGGCATCTGAATTAATTGCTTCCTGATTAATTACGCTCACTCCGTGTGTGAGGGAAACAGGGGCTTCAATCATCTGCGGCCACTGTCTCTGGTCGCTGTCAGAGATCCTGGCCTCTGGCCTGGAGTCAGGGTAGGCAGGAAACTGAAGAAGGTGGCAGCAGGCAGGGGACCCAAGGTTGGGGCACTGTCTAGCCGTGTAAAGGGGCATCTGGGGAGGTGAAGGAGGGTCAGTGGGCTCAGGAATGGAGGGCGGAGATTTCTTTTTGTGCGTTTGTTTGTTTGGATTGATTTGGTTGTCTTGAGACAGGGTTTCTCTGTGTAGCACCAGCTGTCCTGGAACTTGCTCGTAGACCAGGCTGGCCTTCAACTCACAGAGATCCGCCTGCCTCTGCCTCTGCCTCCCCAGCGCCGGGCACCACCATGGCCAGCTTTGTTTATTTTTGACACAAGGTTTCCCTACATAGCCCAGCCCGGCCTCAAATCCACGATCCTCCTGCCTCTGTCTCCAGAGTGCTGGAATCACGGGTGAGCATCCCCGCGCCTCACTGACTGACTCACCGGGGTCTTGGGGGGTATTCTCAAACTGGGCGTTTCCCCTTCAGCAGGAGGCACCGGGCCTCAGCTGACAGTCTTTAGGGCAAGCGTGTCCCTTGGGACTCGTGATATTATTTTATCAAGTGTGAAGGGTTACTCTCTGGCTATCTAGGCCGGCGCAAGAGGCCCTTATGGGCACGCAGTGGAATCTCCACGGGGCAGGGGCGGGGAACACAGGCGGCGGTCGGAATCCAGGCGTTCCGAGAGTCACTGCCCATCAGCTTCAAGCACCCAGGCGCGATGAGCGCCGTGTCGTAGCTGCTCTGTTGGCTCCTCAGCCCTCGGGGGCTCCCCGTCCTGCGCACTCTGCATCTGACGATTGTCACACTGGCGGAGCTGCAGAGTGACAGCTCATTTCAGAGAGGATAAGGCATGATCCTTCTCAATTGTCACTACGTGGCACTGGATCTGGGGGTGCAGACCTGTAATCCCAGCCCTTGGGAAGGCTTGGGGCTGGAGGAGCTGGAGTTCAAGGTCAGCCTGGGCTGCGTGGCAAGATCCTGTAAGACAAAACAAAACACAGAACCCCAAGATACGGTATGAAGCTCGGGGGTCTCAGAGAACCTGTCTAACACCTGTAATGCCCTACTCTGGATTCTACTCCTGGTTACACACACACACACACACACACCTCTCACTCCTCTGCCTGCCATTTGAGCCTACACACCACATGTATGAGGACAACAGAGGTGGCACAGGCCAACTGGAGTGCTCCCATGAGCTTGGGGCTCCAGGTCTGTCTGGCTTTGAACCCTTCTCTACAACAGCTGTGCTGGGTGACCGTGGCCAAATTACCCAATCCCTCTAAGTCTTGACTTTCAGAAAGATAGCAGTAAGCAACCCTTGGTGCGATTATATTTTTTGGTTGTGAGCCTAGCCTTTGACGGCGGAGCCATCTCTCCAGCTCCCCCCCGCATGATTATAAGCTTGACTTAGCCACCTGGGTGCCACCGTACCCAACCCAAGCAAAAGCAGGAAGTACTGGCTTTCCTATGTGTGAGCACTTCATCTCAGATGAAACCCATCCCTGACCCCCAGGCCTGCTCCGGGGGGTTCTGGGGACAACGTCTAATTCGCAGAGCAGTTGTCCAAGAGCTTTGTTTCTAGGCCAACCTGAGCAGTTCACACGCACGGGCCACGTTGCTCTGGGGAGGTGTCCTGCCCAGACGTGACTGCTTATCCCGTAAGCTTACCTGGCAGGTGTGAACACGGGGACCGTCCAGGCCCAGGCGTGACTGCTTATCTCATAAGCCACTGGGCAGGTGCGAACAAAGGGACACCTCCGCAGGGCCGTAGGATTTAAGAAGAAGGTTCCAGAAAGGCCCAGGACTGCTGCTCATATCCCAGGGTGTTGAAGGCAGACATGTACACAAAAGTGCAGTCAGGGAGCCTCGAGGAAGGGCCCAATGGTGGCTCTGGAGAGCTTTGGCTCAGCTAAGGGAAACATCTGAGTCCAGACTGTTCAGGAACAAATCAGTCTCCAGGAATCTCTAGTCCGGGAGAAGTTCTGGGGCCTGGACACGCCCACTTCGCTCCAGGGTACAGGCCCACCACTCTAGGTAGGGTAGGGAGGGGGTACCCGAGCCTCCACCTGTACCCACCGCCATTTGCAATACAAAAGGTGAGGTCCTAGCAGACATGGAGTGGCTGGGTCTCAGGGAGAAAGTTCTAGCATCTCTGGGTCTCTCGGAGGCACAGGGATTGGGGTAGAGAGACTGGCCGCTGCCGTGCAGGGGAGTGTGGGGCCGTGGCCTTGTCAGTGCGGACGTTTGAATGTCTCCCAAAGGCCTATGTGTTAAAGGATTGGTCCTGAGGGTGGTGCTAGTGAGAGCCATGGAGCCTTCAAGAGGATGGGACCTCCTGGGAAGACTAAGTCACCGGGGGTGTGTCATTTGAAAAGAGTGGGAGAAGCCACGCATGGTAACACGCACCTGTAATCCCAGCACTCGGGAGGCAGAGGCAGGTGGATCTCTGTGAGTTTGAGGCCAGCCTGGTCTACAGAGTGAGTGCCAGGACAGCCAGGGCTATGTAGAAGTATGTGTGTGTGTGTGTGTGTGTGTGTGTGTGAGAGAGAGAGAGAGAGAGAGAGAGAGAGAGAGAGAGAGAGAGAGAGAGAGGGAGGGAGGGAGGGAGGGAGGGAGGGAGGGAGGGAGAGAGACAGACAGACAGACAGAGACAGAGACAGAGACAGAGGGAGGGAGGGAGGGAAGGGAGGAAGGAAGGAGGGAGGGAGGGGTGAGTGGGACCCTAAGTTCCTTCCTTAATCTCTTTTGCTTCCTGTCTGTGAGGTGAGTGATTCTGCTGGGCCGTGCATTCCTGCTGTGGTCTGCTTCCTGGCCACAAGTCCAAAGCCGTGGAATTTAATCAACCATGGACCGGGCTTTCCTAACTGTGAGCCAGAAACCAACCTCCTGTACTTACAAGTCTGCCTCTCTAAAGCATTTTGTTACAGTCAACAGGAAACTGACCAACACAGGTTTCTGTCAAATCTCCACGTCCAGTAACTAGACGTACAAAGTTCAACTTTTGCTTGTTTAAAGAGAATTTAATTTAGGAAGTTGAAAAGGCACAGAGGACACTTAATGATGTGAGCACAGTTGGGCTTGGACTTCTGGGTGTCTGGACATTTTCTCAGATGAGGACCTCCAGCTCTCTACCTGGCTAAGCTCACATGGGAAACTATGGAGTCCACTTGGGGCCATCTTTTCTCAGCGGGCTAGATGGAGAGTCCTTTAATTGCAGAGTCCTGAGAGGAAGCAGAACAGACTGCAGAGCAAGGATTGGAAGAGACAAAGGGACTTGTCTAAACAGGAAAAAGCCAGCTCTAGGGACAGTAGCGCACACCCCCAAATTCATATATTGGTACCCCATGTGTAGAGAGAAGCCTTTTTCCTTGCCAGCCACTTTGGTTTTCCCCCACCAGTCACCTGGGCTCTGCCGCATTGTAGTCCCCAAAAAACACACAAGACGCTGTATTAATTATGAAGCTGTTGGCCTTGCTTGTTTCTTACTGGCTAGCTCTGACTTAAGTATTTATTTCATAATTGTTAATCTAAGTATTTCTCTTACCGGAGAAGTTTCTGGGCTTCTTATCACTATGGTAGCTACATCTTGACTCCCTGTGTTTCTCCCTCCTCCTGGACTCCTAGTCCCACCTATCTTGCTTCCCTATTGGCCAACAGTGCTTTATTGACATATACACAGGTCTTCCCCATCACCCATGTGTTAGGGATAGACATTGGAAATGGAGCCTTGGGGAGACAACTAGGTTTAGAAGAGGCCACCAGGATGGGACCCTCTGTGGGGTTAGTGCCCTCATAAGAAAAGATGTCAGAATTGGAACTCTCTCTGCCAAGTGAGCATAAGACAAGTCAAGATGACAGACCCCACTAGAACCTGAGCATTTTGGAACATTGACCTTAGGTCTTCTGGCTTCTAGAGTTATACATTTCTGTTGTTTAAACCACTCAGTCTATGGAATTTTTCTGGCAGCCCAAGCACACCCACCTGGATGTTCCCTTTCTCCCTACCTGAAGGTGAAGTTACACTGCTGGCAGGAAGTACCAGGAGAGCATCCTGTGACAGACGCCTTCCATATACTCGGGCTCCTATAGAGTACCGAAGCTCCCAGAAGCATCTAAGGAAATGCCGGGACCCTGGCCTTCACAGGATCACTGAGTGGTCCTCTCCCACCATTAAAGGTTCCATCTGTCCCCTGCCCACAGACAGCATGCTGGAGCAAAGTCCCCAGAGATAGGGAAAGGTCAAAGAGACATGGGGTGAAGTTATGGAAGTGACGCCTCTGGTCTCCCCTCTTGCTCCACAGATGCTACCTCCAAACCAAGGGGCCCCCGAAAACCAACTTCTCAGCTGCCTGGGGAGCGGAGATTACCGCGTCAAGAGCCCACAGACGTGGTGTCTAAGATGAGCTCTTCAGTCTGTCAGCTGTGGTCTGGCCTCTGGACCTGGATTCCTACCCCCGAAGCGTACAGGCGCCTCCCGCACTGTATTGTTATGGGGACCGACCGGATAGCAGATTAGAGGGGCTGATCGGGACATCTGCGGGTCGGCGCTTCATTTCGTATGCGCTGATGAAAATCTGTCCCGCTCACTTTTTTTTTTTTTTATTTTTAAGCTGGAACGGTGTTTTGAGAAGAACGTGCGTCGTGCGTGAGGGAGGGAGAGGCATCAAACCGTGTAGCCGTCTGATAGGTCAGAGGGAGCAAGCCGACCCAGGCAGGCATTCCAGCTGGCACTAGGCTCTCACGGTCAGCAGCCCACTTCGAAGCTTCCATCTTTGCCTGACAAGGGAGGAAACGAAGCCCGCCTTGTGAATACTCTGGGGGCAAAACATGATGATGTTAAGTACCTTTCTCCTCTCTTTCCCTCTGGATCCAGGGACGGAGACTCAGCTCTCATTCCTGGTTGGCTCTACCAGCCACACCCCCATCCCACTGGGGAATTCTAGGAAGCGCTCTACCATTGGACGGCCAGTCCTTTCTAACCATATTCGCGCACATACAATTTGTTTTGACTATCTTAAACATGTATGTAATGAGTTTTGGTCATTTTCTCCCCATTCTCTTCTTTCTCCTCTCCTTCTCCCATTGAAGTCCCCCTTCCCAACAAGCCCCCTCCTACTTGGATGCTGTGAGAGCATGGGCATGTGTGTGTTGTGAGTGTGTGTGTTGTGAGTGTGTGTGTTGTGAGTGTGCATACCTAAGTGTGTGTGTGTGTGTGAGAGAGAGAGAGAGACAGAGAGAGACAGAGACAGAGACAGAGACAGAGAGAGACAGCCACCAAATTTAGAGTTGCTTGCGTGGAACGGGAAGAGAGATTATTAGCACATGTAACTCAGCAGTGGCTACACCACTGAAGAAAACAGCTTCAGATCTGCCTCCCCCAACTGCTGATTGCCAGCAATCCCTCAGGGAGAGGCAGAGCCTCTTGACCTTTTCCTCCATCCGTGATGAAGTCTCGACAAGCCCAGTCTTCTGCACCCCGAGCACAGGCAGTTGGAGCTGCTGAGTTTACAATCGAGTACAATGTCCATGCTATCTCAGTAGACATTGTTTCGAAGTCCTCCTCCCCACCCTCCAGCTCTTACAGTCTTCAACCTGCTCTCCTACAACAGCTCCCGAGCTTTAGGGGCTGAGCGATAGAGCACTTAGAGCCATTTATTTATTCCTCGTACTTTGACCAGTTGTAAATGTCTGTGTTTATCACCATCCAACTCGAAAAGAAACTTCTCTGGCCAAAGCTGAGAGCATCACCTCATCCGCGGACATGAACATACGTACCTTAGACAGCAGTTTGACAAGACGTCCTTAGCAAAAACAACAGTAGGGGCCATGGGTTCTTTACCAGGTGTTCAGTGCCAAGCAAGAGTTCCCCTCCCGTGGTGCAGGCTTCAACTCTAATCCGAAAGTAGTTGGGAGCCAGATCTGGTGGCTCACAACTTTAATTCCAGTGCTTGGGAGACAGAGGCATGCAGGTCTCTTTGAGTTCAAGGCCAGCCTGGTCTCCACAGGGAGCTCAAGCCAGAAAGGATTTCAGTTACACAATGAGATCCTGTCTCAAGAAAAGCTATGGCTGGTTACTGTTGCAATAGTCATGTCACAATTGTATCAGTGAGCGTCCCCCTTGGTTACTTACTAGACTTCCATTGTTTTCAACCATCAAGCAGTTATTTTACAAAACAGTCCCCCTTGGTTACTTACTAGATTTCCATTGTTCTCAACCATCAAGCAGTTGTTTTACAAAACAGTCCCCCTTGGTTACTTACTAGATTTCCATTGTTCTCAACCATCAAGCAGTTGTTTTACAAAACAGCCCCCCTTGGTTACTTACTAGATTACCATTGTTCTCAACCATCAAGCAGTTATTTTACAAAACAGTCCCTCTTGGTTACTTACTAGATTTCCATTGTTTTCAACCATCAAGCAGTTGTTTTACAAAACAGTCTCCATTCTGCGGTTACATAGTGACAGACAACTGCCTTACAATTTGGCAGAAACCTTGCTTTTCATCTGGGAGCAAGAAATTTGCCATCCTGGGAACTTTAATTAGGAAGATGTTTGTTGCACAATTTTAGCAGAATCACCTGTTTTCTTTCTCAGTGTGATCACTCCATTAACAAGAGTCAGAAAACTTCCCTTTGGGGACTCAGAACTTCAAAACCAAAAGCATCTCTCTGGACGAGAAAGTCCTGTCTGGTTATTATTGTAAGGTACCATGCTGGCTTTACGCTCAGATCCTTGCTGGGTTCTCTGCTAGAGTTTTCCCATGGGGAAGAAAACGAGACAGGCCCTGCCCAAAGGTTCCTGCCTCAAGAAGAGAGAGCCAGGATTCAGGAGTACTGACAGAGCCAGGTGTGGTTGGGTGACGGGGGATGTCCTTCTGTGTATATGTTTATCTTATTGGTTGGTGAATAAAACACTGGCCAACAGAGGCAGGAGGATGGGTGGGACTAGGAGACGAGAAGGATTCTGGGAAAGGGAGAGAGAGAGAGAGAGAGAGAGAGAGAGAGAGAGAGAGAGAGAGAGAGCTCAAAGAGATGCCATGTAGCCAAGGTCTGGACCCTTCTCTGGTGAGATAAGACCATGTAGAAATACGTAGATTTATATAAATGGTTCATAATTAAGGGAGAGCTTGCCAGAAAGAAGCCCTAGCCATCGGCCAATGATTTTATAATTAATACAGCATCCATGTGCTTATTTGGGGCTGAAAAGCGGCTGTGGGACTTTGGGGGGAAATTACATCAGTTGTACATGCCCACACCCCAGAATCGGGGAGGCTGAGGCAGGGGGATCTCAACTTTGAAGGTATCTCAGGTTACCTTGAAACGGTCTCAAAAGAGAAAAGCAAGCAAACAAACAAACAAACAAGGGAGCTAAGGACCCTGCAAAGAGATTTTAATCCCCAAGCATCCTTCGTTCCATGACTGGAAACTGTACAAATGCCCACGGGCGATTCTCTCAGGGTCCATCCCAGCACTGGAGGCTGGGACTCGGGCCCACCATTCAGGGTCTCACAGAGTAAGCCTTGGCAGCCATAGAAGTGAGGAGGGTTACTGCGGAGACAGTGAGAGGCAGAGAGGAGGAGACCCCACTCTCGCCCTTAACAGATTCATCCATCGTAGAGATCGTCACCCCCACACCCCCCACCCGTCCCAACTCCCAGCCCCCCCGCTGCCCTGGTGATGCTCACACTCACCCTGCATTCCTAGCTCTGCCAGGAATACCTGGCTCTCCTGTGTACCTGCAGCTACCTCTCCATGTGGCTAAGCTTGGCTGAAATGGCACATCCTCTGAGATGCCTTCTTCAGCACCAGAAAACCGTGACTTCTTCTTTTTGGCACAGGCACCAAAGTACCCAGCCTAAATTAGGTGTTCCGCAGGGGTGTTAGCTACGGCTAAAGGAAGGGACACGTGGAGTCTGCAGGAGGGACAGGCGGCTCTCTTGTGAGACACGACGCTGCTTTGTTTTCTTTTGTTTTCTGAGACCTGGCTGTCCTGGAACTCACTGTACAGACCAGGCTGGCCTCGAACTCACAGAGATCCGCCTGCCTCTCAGTGCTGGGATTAAAGGCGTGCGCCACCGCTGCCAGGCAGGGTAGTGTGTCTTTGTGGAATTGCACACTCGGTGACTTTCAGGTCTTTTCTGCAAGTCTGTCCCTCTGTGGAGCAGTAAAGATGGATGACTTACGACTAAGGCCCTCCCCTCCCCTCCCCTCCCCTCTCCTTCCCTCCCCTCTCCTCCCCTTTCCTCCCCTCCCCTCTCCTCCCCTCCTCTCCTCTATCCTCCCCTCCCCACCCCTCCTTTCCTTGAGACATGATTTCACATCATTATTCAGACTTCCTTCAAATGCACAATCCTCCTGCCTCTACCTCCTGAGTTCTGAGACAGTGAGTGTGCATCACCCCATCTGGCTTCTGCCTTTATACGCCTAAGGTGCACCTCGACGTGTAGCTGGGTTTAACTATTCACCCACTCTGAAACACCTTCGGAGTTTGGTGGCACTATTTAATCAATTTATATATAGTATAGTTGTTTCTGTATTTGAGGTCAAGTCTGTATTTTCTATTTGTGTCACTTATTTCATTTTTCTACAGATTTATTTATTTATTTAAAAACCATACGTTTTGCTTGAATACATGTGTACTGTATGTGCCTAGTATCCTCAGAGGCCAGGAGAGGCCTCAGATTCCCCGGGAACTGAAGCTACAGGTGGTTGTGAGCTGGGAACCAAGCCCAGGTCCTCTGTGAGGGCAGCGGCTGCTCCAGCCTCGGAGTCACACATTTTGTTGTTTAGGTGTCGGTCTGTGTATCTTGTGAGTTTGTCTGTCCTGAGTGTGGGGGGGCCAGATGGGGAGTTGTGCCCTCTGGACTGTGGCTGTGAGATGTCCCCATGTCCCTGTTTCCCGCTCCTCTCCTTCTCCCTGACCTTCAGCTGGAGGAAAGCCCTTTCCCGCTTGTTCCTATCCTTTCAGTATTTGGGCCCTAGGGATCATGTGACAGACGGGACCGCCACCCTCAGAATGCAGAGGCCGAAACTCCAATCCAAAGTGTGACTGCATTTGAAATAGAGTGCTTGTCACAGAAGCAATTCAGGCCAGTAGAGGTCATAAGGGTGGGGTCTTGATCCTGCGAGGCTAGTGAACGCACTTAGCAGGAATTACACTACTCAGGAGACCAAATCAGGAAGACCGAGAGTTCAAAGTTAACCTGGGCCACTTAGATTTTGTCCTAAAGCAAAAAGTAAAAGCAAGAGTTGGGGCTGGAGCACTTGGGGTTGGATACCCATCGACTCAAGATAAATATATACATATTCATAGACATACACATATACATACACATATACATATACACACATACACATATATATATACATACATATATATACACATGCACATATACACATATACATACACATATACACATACTCATACACATACGTATATACATACACACATATATACACATACACATATACACACACATATATGCATACGCACATACATATACATATATGTACACATATACATATTCATATACATACACATACTCATATACATACACATATATACACATATACACACACATATTCATATGCATACACAAATACACATATATACACATATACACACATATTCATATACATACACATATACACATATATACATATACACATACACATTTACATATAGATACACATACATACACATATACATACATATATACACACATACACAGTACACATATATATACATATACACATACACATACATACATATATACCTGGCATCTCACCTTCACTTTTAAGAGTGTGGTGTTGCCAGGCGTTGGTGGCGCACGCCTTTAATCCCAGCACTCGGGAGGCAGAGGCAGGAGGATCTCTGTGAGTTCGAGGCCTGCCTGGTCTACAGAGCAAGTTCCAGGGCAACTTCCAAAGCCACAGAGAAACCCTGTCTTGAAGAACCAAAAAAAAAAAAAAAAAAAAAAAAAAAAGAGAGTGTGGTGTTTTATCAACTTGAGCAGAATT